GATATTTCTTTTCTGAACAACTTAATGAAAAAGGCTGAAAAAGAACACATTGATAAATTAAAACAAAGCAACTGGTTGTGATAATAACATTGTACGTATATATTTGAATAACCTATTTTATTTTATTTTTTTTGCATTATCATTATTATTATGATTCTTCTCATGTGACTACGAGATCATCCCTACCCCGCTTATATCCCCACCCCCACTTTTGGGCTAAACGGAAGGAGGAATATAAACGGGGTACCTTCGTACAGTCACATAATTTAGTAACAGGCCTATATAAATATAGTCATATCACTATCCCGATGCCGTGATTATATCGAGGTGCGACTGTATAATGTTGATGACTCAAGTTAATTGCCTGCCTCTTCGCTGTCTCTGTTGTGACAAAAAACCTGTTAGGACTTACACCCACTGTTGCGTATACAGTTGGTTACTATCATTTTCGAATAATGGACCGCTCGATTCTGTAGAAAACCGATGTGTTATATTTAGAGTTTTATCCATGTACTCACTCAAAACGTTGTAGTCAAATAAGGTATATAGGAACCTTGCGATCATTATCAAGCATACACTCTTATTGGATTTCCTGTCCATGTTACAAGCTAGAACGTATCTCTGAATTTGGTAATCCTGAGGCAGAATATACGACAATCCTTTTTCTTCCCACGTATGTGCATGAACAGTTACACTGATTTGTGCGAGCAATGTTTGTTGTTAACTTGGATTTCAAAATGTAGGCTATTACTATGTCGATTTGTTTTTGTCTTATGCCTTGCTGTGTGAATAATGAACTGGCCGTATTGCTGTTATCATGTGATGTCGGACTGTTGGCGTTGTTCTAGAGTAAGATATGAACAGTTGATAAAAGAAGAGAGATATGCTTATAGAGATAACAGTGACAATACTCCTTTTTCCTACACGAGGCAATGGGCTAAGCTAGTCTGAATAGAGTACTTTGGGTCCCAGTTTTCTAATAAATTGCGCCATTCAATCAGCATATACAACCCTGTGTAACTTTATCCCCTGGTGATCACTGTCAGGCTGAAATAGATTACGATGCCCAACTTCTCATTACTAATAATGATCAACGATGTAGACACCTATTTTAAAACAATGACTCGTGCAAATTTTTACTTCACGCAATTAAACACTAACATATGCGCGCTATAATTACATGTAGGTACTGGGCTTAGCAAAATGATCTGACTTTGGACGGAAAGCTTGAAAAATAGGTATGCGCTGTAAATTCTTTTCTGCAAAGCGTCCTATTTTTATAGCATCCAAATTCTTATAAAAAGAAGACCTGCCTCACCCTTCGTAGGAACCATCAGCAAGCTCAAACATCTTGTCGTGGACAATCAAATATATCGTTAAACTCATATTCACAAGCAAAAACAACAGAGAAAATGAAATTCCAATCAATCCTCGTATTCTTGATTGCCAGTTTGGCTGCTGGAACCTATGCTGCTCCTGCTCAAACATGTGAAATCGGTAGGTTTAACATTAAACATTAATAAAAGTTTGTTTATGATGTAAA